ATCAATCAATCAATCAATCAATCTTTATTTCAGACACAAAAGAGGTCCATAGTAAAAACAAAAGAAAAAGAAAACAAAAAGAAGCATGACAGTCACTGAGCCACAAATAAGTGATGACGCCAATGTTTCCACAATCTTGAGAAAAATCTCACTGTACTAAAATTATTAACTATTAACAAACCAGCTGGTTAGATACACATTTGTAAACATAACCTATCTCACCAATACTTCTTAGACCCACCAACTGCCACTTGTAACCAGGTAATCCATTGGAAATTATAACATAAAAATTGCAGTAAAGATGTCAACAAATATCAGAAGTTACGGATTAACGGACCGCGGTCCGGATCCAGACCCACCTGCTGGCTAATCCAGACCCAACCCATCCAAATTGTAGCTGACCGCTAACAGTGCCGCAGACAGGAGGCCGGCTTGTTTTGCTTTTATGACTGAAATTGCGGAAAACAACTTGTGAAGTTTGACCCGCTAGAAGAGTGAGGTGCGCGAGAACGCTGGGAACCTTTTTCCCCCTGGATCTCCGCTCTTTTTGGCCCTCATGTCCCTCCGTTGCCGGACAAACTCGCCCCCACTTCCTCTCGGCCGTATCTAGACCCACAGTGTATAGCACAGACCATATTTAGCATAAATCAAAAATGTCTGTGTCAAGCTTACTGCAACACACTGCTGTAAAAGTATAACCAGGAAGCGAGGTAGGAGGGCAAAATAGGTTTAGCGCCACCGCAGCACTGGAGGGAGAATTACACCCAGGAGCAAATGGATAAAAATAGACCAGAGGAAAAAAAAACATGAATCGATACTCTTGCGATACTCGTTTCATCGTTTTTTTATTTAAAAATTCAATGTATAACATGGGTGCATAAATAACCTCCTTTTATTTCAGTTTTAAGTTCTGTTTTAAGTAACAGATTATAATTAAAAATGTCTCCGGACATTTACTGGTTGATGATGATCTTTACTCGGACCCTGCTGATTTTTTTATTGGTTACCCCTGATATAGAGCATGTGGCTGCATGAAAAGGTACCAACAGGTCCCAGAATAGATCTGCATTGTAGTTAAATCAAACACATCTCCATTCTCAGTGGTGGATGTCTCATGTTCATTGATACAATACGTCCAACTCAGTTATTATGCTATATTTTGTATTTACTATATAATTTTGATATTATTCCATGTTTTTTAGTTCTCTTGTATATTTTCCGTAGACCTGCAGTAGTCTTGTGTATGTATTGGCTCAGGTTTCAGGGTTGTTGATAAAGAGACCGCTCTGATTTATGTAAGGCACAATATGCTCCATGCTACACGTAGGAAAGCTTCAGTATTACCCTTATGGATGGTTATATGGTGGTCTTTAAACCTACGACCCAAATTATGACTAGAACAAACAAAATGGATTGATTTGGTTTGCTTGAGGGTTTTATATTGACTCTAACCACATGTCTTTAGCAGCATTAACAACTTAGGAAAGATAAACCAAGTCTTTATCTCAACTAGCTGCTTTGGTTCCTGTAGCACTGAGAATCTGCTGTCTTTTGAGCTTTAAACTTAATCCTAAGCAGGACTTCAAATCCACCCAGATTTTGTTCTAGATGCCTGGCTGTGAAAATTAATTTTGATAAATTGCTGGATTATTTGTTTAAAGAAGGAGCGAGCCATCTCTAAATAGGGTTGTCTGTCAGCACGGGTGAGATATGGAAAAAACTGTTAACCTTTAGCTGGACCACCAGGCTTACCACAGCCTTTTTATAGACATGTTTTAATCAATTCATCAGGTCATCCCCTGGTCCAGAAGGTTCTGCTACAGCGTCGAGCAACAAGCGCTTGCAGCAGACGCAGGCTCAAGTGGATGAGGTAAGTTATAGTTTGGTTCCTCACACATTGAAGAATCAAAAAGGGACTTATTTGTTAAAAACTTACTTATCACTGTTTCTCCGCTTGCTGCTTTTTGAACCAAAAGGCTGAAATTAGGCTTTTTAGGTAAAGCTTCCTATTTCTTTCTAGTTCAAAGCAAATATTGAATATAAACTCAGCCTTGATGAATGGTGTCACCTAGCGACCAAGCACCAGCCCCTCCCCTTTCCCCTGGTGATTCTGTTGCAGAAACTTGCATAACCCTTGGCATCACTGCTTTGATTAACCACCCTGAATCTGTTTTTTTCCGTAACGTTCTACCTCTGCGTTACTGTTCTCGGGACCAAAGAAATTCAGGGAATCAGCTTCTATTCACATAAGGTCATCAGGTGGAGAAGTAGCTTGTTAATACTCTTCCTTAGTGTTTCTCATTTCTCCCACCTCCCACCCGGACCTTTAACCTCCGTCTGCCACACAGAGCTTCCAATTGGTTCTTAGAGGTTTATATAATCTTCATCTCTGCCCTTATGTAAGGCCTGCATGAGCTTATTCACTCCTCTACCGTGCAGCTCAGCTGTGGGAGGTGGGGCAGTAGTGAGCTTTGTGGATCAGTGGAACATGTGGGTTACGTGCAGTGTGTGACTTGGTGTGCGCATACAGATGTTTGTTTGACTTTTAGTGAACTCGCAGTAAGATCAGCTTTGTGTGACGTACCTTTACATGCAAGATGGGATATGTCTTGATTGTTGTTTGTTAGGCTGCATTGCCACAGGATGTTTAACTAGCTTAGTTATATCATCATTTTTACGTTAACACACGTGCACATTCCTAAACATCTTCTTTTGTTGTTTACTTTTATCAATGATAAAGATTAACGTCTCCAAATATCAGATGGTGTGTTATAGAAACACCAGAATTTCCCCATTGTGAGACATTAAAAGGGATTTTCTATTCTCTATATCCACATAAAGATTGTACATATGTTTATTTATTTATTTTTTGTTGTGCAGGTAGTGGATATTATGCGTGTTAATGTGGACAAAGTACTGGAACGTGATCAGAAATTGTCTGAACTGGATGATAGAGCAGATGCACTGCAAGCTGGAGCTTCCCAGTTTGAGACCAGTGCGGCCAAACTGAAACGGAAGTTCTGGTGGAAGAACTGCAAGGTAGGCTACCGGTCTAAAATTTAATTCAGCAACTGTAGAATTTTGATAAGCCTTATTTGACCACATTAAAATTAATGTTTTAAATAAAGATTTTGTTTTTATTTTGTGTCAATATTTTGTCACCTTTTTCTTTCAGATGTGGGCTATCTTGATAGCTGTTGTAGTGATCATCATCATCATCATTATTAGTGAGTATAAAGACAAAGAACTTGTGAACACGGTTGTGTAAAGTTTCAAATGCTTTCAAGCTAATTTAAGCTATAAAAGCATTTAAGAAGTACCTCATTAAGGCTTTTATACCTTTGCTATTTCTTTGCTCAGGTTACAACTAAATTATGTTTTATGCAAAAGGAAAAGTAGAATAGAAATAGGATTTTATATCAGTTTTCAAGGAAGACCTTATATTTTGATCACATAATTATTAAAGAGAGCCCAGCTGTGCAAAATATAAGTTCGCTATAGATACTATTCAAAACTTTCTCCTTCTTGAATACAACAAGCAAACTGAAACTAAATTTTAACCCAAGAATATCTTAAAAAGAAAAATAACATAGTGGTGGCTGCATCATGCTGTGGGTATTCTAGTCTTTTGCCAATTGGAAAGATGGGGGTTAGAGTTGATGGGAATATGGATGGAGCCAAACCAGTAGACTTGAGGCAGGGTCAGGAGTGTACTTCCCACTCCTCTCTACAGCATAGTGGCTTGGATATACGGCCAGGAAAAATATGGCTTTAAAAATGTAATCTTTGATATTTAGCAATTTACATACTTCCCCCTCCTTTGACAAAGCAGACATTACTTTCCAATCTTTTATCAGCTATGAGTACATGTCTAATAAACATATTAACTGATGTTATGCTTACCTATGGAAACCCAAGATGGGCTTTGGTGCAGAAAAAAATCTTGATTTAAAAAAAAAATCGTGGATCATTCTAAAACATAATTAGTCCTCTTGGACCTAAAACAGGTTTTATTTTAGAATTCTACATTCAACTTTTATATTCACCATCTTCAAATGTGGGTATGGTGGAGTTTTAAGCTAACTTGCAGTGTTCATTTTCCACCACATCGTCCATATCTGATGTGTAGTTAAACATTAAAATGATCAGAGATGCTCTTCATTTGGTGTGCCTTTCAGCTATTACCCCATTTACACTACCCTTGAAAAACCGTGCCGAGACCGGTCCGAGCTCAGTAACTGAGATAACTTATTGTGTAAATGGAAACTGAACTGAACCGAGCTAGACACAACCGAACCGCGCTAACTGCAGACCAGTTCCAGAAGTGGGCTCGGCTCGGTTTTTCCCTGGCTCGGTTCTCTGATAACAAGAGCGCATGAGCAGAACGCGTCATCTCCGTCTGGCTGCACATCCCGATTCACACTCCATTCCAGTAGGTGGCGGTAATGCGCCTCCAGAAGTTGTTTGCCAACCAACACAAAACAGAAGAACAACAACTAAGTTATGCTGACTTTCTCAAGTAAATCCACGAAAGGTTGCCGTCTTCGCCTGACCCTCCGCAAACACCGACGTACAGCAATAATTATCAAGCATAACTTTCTGAATGTAACGGGCGCCGCCATTTTGACATGTTTGATACCCTCCTTCTTCGTCTTCTTCTTCCTGTGTTTTATGGCGGTTGGCAAACAACTTTTGGTGCATTACCGCCACCAACTGCTTGATTTCCTCCTTCAATACTGGCAGTAATACCGCAGATCGTCACTAGGAGGCGAGGAGTCGAGGAACCGAGATAGCGTGATGTGGAAACGGTCGTCAGAACCGAGCTCGGCCTGGTTAACTGATCCAAGCTCGGACCGGTCTCGCCATTGATTGGTTTTTCAAGGGTAGTGTAAATGGGGTATATGATGTTAAGAAGTTTTTAGATGTACAAATGCTTGATGAGACCCGTCCAAACCCTTGGTCTTTCAATTTTCTTCACTTTTTTTAACGAGTTTGACTTAATGAGGATACAAATTAATACAATTTATATACGCTTGCACAATTGTATTGTGATGAAATGTAAAAAGAAATAGAAGGTATGAATGGTTTTATAAATAAAGATGGATATTTGAAACCAAATCCATTAATACTCAGCATTGCCTTTCTCTTTGCGAAACACTAGGAATTTACTGAGAATGTTTTTAAAATTGTTTCTTATCGAGTGCTCATTCTCTTTACAGTTTGGAGCTGCTCTTAAAATGGCAACAGACCGCGGAGGATTGGAGGATCAGGCAACATGTGTTCGTCAAGTGTCTGAGAAAGAATCCAAATGCTCACGTTATTCACCTCCACCGATCTTCCTCTCTTCTCCTTGATTTGGGTGTTTATGTGTGTGTTTCCGTGTATTTGCAGAGGATCGTGTTAAAACTCCAGTTTAACCTCTGTGACCTACACTTACACACACACACACAAGTTTTTTTTCTTGAGAATAGAAGCGAAGGAATTGTTTTAAACTGTCTGCTTATATTATTATATTATATATATTAATGATTTTGGGTGCCAGGCTAAAAAATGTGCCTTTGGGGTCTTTGTTAGAGTTTGCCAAACCCCTTTTCTACTACATAAAGGTTTTTTTCTTTTCAAACAGTTATTACCAGTATTTTTATGTTTCTTTTTTTTTTCTTCAATATATAGTCAGATTTTTTTTTTTCATTTGTTACAATGGACTTGTGTGATTTAATACCTGTTTTGTGTTTTTGCACATAGTTAAGTTACTCATTGTAGAAACTGAAAACAATTGATCTAAGGTGATTGAAATAAACATGTTATTTAGTTAGAAACTTGATCCTAAATTTACTCAAATTTTCTCCTTGGCACTTGCATGTTTATGTTTAGATAAGTGCCTTAATGCAAAAACAAAAAAAAGACCAAACTGCCTCAAAATAAGCATAAACGTTGTTATCAGGTGGGTTTTCTCACTTGGAGGCTCTCAGAGATGTTTTTATAAAAATTGCTTCGTGTTATGCTCAAGGACAGTGATTAAAGTAGATGTAGATTTAGACCAATGCCTTAAGGGTGTCCCAAATGAAAACGGCCAAATACCAACAACCACAGTCTTATCATTTGTTCCAGCCAGCAAAACGTATGTGCCTTCTAAATACTCAAACAAAAACTACCCTTTGCTATAGACAGCTGAACTTAACCTCTATGTAACTCTCCTGTCAGTTTCACCTGATAATTTAATGTACTCCTCGCATTAGATACTTTAGATTTTGTGTAAAATAGCTTTTATTTGCATGCGTAATATGTAGAATTAATCTAATGCTTAGATGTATTTTCATGGCTTTTCTTACTGCAGCTGAAAATTAATACATGACATTGTATTATATGCTACACAACACTGGATTTAGTTTTCTTATTCGTGTGTTATTTTCCATTGACTTTTTTGGCATTTTCCGAATATTGTGCTAATTTAACGTTGCCTCTCAGTGCATCCATGATTGTACAAAATCCATGTATAATTTTGGCTTTTTGTTGTTTATGAATAATAATTTTATTGCATACAGTAAGCCATGCTCTCTCTTTACACAGAAATCTAACATCCTATAACTTTTAAGCCTTATAAATACATGCTGGGTTTTTTTTTCTTTGGAAAAGTGCAATTGTACTTTGTGACCCTAAAAAACAGTTGCTTGAATAAAACAGATAAAATTTATATAAAAACACTTCTATTTCTTTTTCTCACCATATCAAATATCCATTGAAATTTCTAATGATTAAAACGGTTTCCTGTCTTATGTCTAGTAAGTGAAATATTTTAATGCCTTGTAATACCATCAAGCAGTATGTACACTAAAAAAAGAGGTTTTAAATATTTTAGCATGTAGCTCTGCTAGTTCTTTGTGTCTACAGACCTAAATTCCTTATCCGTTATTCTTTGCATGATAGCTTGAATCCAGTCAGATTAGATGGAGAGGTATAGTGTTATTGTTCATCTTCAGGTCGCAGAGGAAGTAGTTCTTGAGAGCGAATCCCAGCCGTTCCTCTCCTGTATCGCTTCAGTTGTTTAGATATCTGTTCCTTTGGATATATAATCCCTCCACTGAACTGACACCCAGGTTTCTAAACTCCTTTTGAAGCTTTGACTGACTGACCCCCAACCAAGGCGGAGCAGTTCATCACCTGGCTACAGGACGCCGATCCTAGCTGGTTAACTCTGAGCTGCACTACACTCCAGTACAAGCTGAGGGTCATGGCTCCAAGAAGCCGACAGCAGTAGGTCACCTTTAAAAGGCAAAGAAAGGACCCTGAGGTCCTCAAACCAGAAGAGGGTATCTGATGACTCAGTTTGACCTGCTTCCTAGAGGCATGACTGTGCCTCGATATCCTGGTAAATCTCAGCAACTTTAGAGTATATCTAAACATCTATTAGTATTGGTTTGTTATAGATTGTCATAAGTATGAAACTTTGGTCTTTATAATCTTTGAACAATCTTACTTTAGATATGGCTGTGCAGCCAGGATTGTTGCTCTTGCTTAGTGTGTTTTAGTTTTTGTCTCTGAAAGGTGAACATCCGAGTTTCAACTGTTTTGCAACCTTTAACAGGTTTTTCAAGATAACCACATATTTACCATCATCCGCCTCCGTATTTACTCCCACTACGTTCCATCTACCGGATGGGGCAAAATATTTGAACATGTAGCTGTCTTCAGCATTTTCCTTGATGAGGATGGTGTGATCAGGGGTTAATTTCCTATAGTTTTCCCCGATGTTTGCTAAATACCCTACATGACTTCTTTCCAACATATCACACATTGATATCTATGCAGATGATAGTTTTTTTTTCTCAATCAAATTCAGGTCTGCACTTCAACTGGATAATTCTAGAACATTCATTTTTCTTCTTTGACCTCAAACGGGTTGTCTTTCAGAATTTCATATTTAGCTCTAGTCATTTTACCATTAGCTTTAAACTGTTTCCCTGTCTGCTAAAAATGCAGCCCCATAGTATGATACTGCCACCACCATGTCCAAATGTGGGGATCGTGGAGTTTTAAGCTAATTTGTAGTGTTAATTTCCCACCATACTTGGGATCATGAGTGTTTCTAGTCATTTCAGGTTTTTCTATATCAACAGTTTTATTTTATCAATTTAAAAATTAAGTTGTTTTGAGTTTTTTTTTTTTCAATTCTTTTTTATTTGGTAAGGCATAAACCATTTCTTTACAGAATTTCATAAATTGTTTACATTTTCCTTTCCCAAAGGTGTTGATTTATAAATACAAACAAAACAAATTACAGAAGCCAAGACAAATACAAATAATTAAGAAAAACAAATACAAAAAATTTAGAGAGAACACTTTAATATGTCAATCCATACACGTTCTGTATTCCTATCCATTCCAAAGATGAAAATTATTACAGTTAAAGTTCCAGAGCAATTAAGGTTTTTCTCTCTCCATAAGTTCAGGTGCCCATGTCTTTTGGAACAATTTATCTTTAAACTGTGATTTTGCTGTTATTTTTTCCATTCCCATCACTTCCTTAACTCTTTCCTACCAAAGGTCGGTGCTCGGGGGTTGTGGCTTTAGCCAGAAGATTGTTATTATTGAGGTTTTTACAGCACAAGGGTCTTGATTTTTTTTGTACACTGGGCTGACAGGGTACGAGAGAGGGAGAGATATTACCTAAGACTTCCATACATGGGTCGTGCACGCTAACCACTGCACCACCGAAGCACGCCCCAAGTTGTTGCACATTTAGCTTTAATCATATTGAGATAGGAGAACATGGCTTGCTAATGTCTCTGGTTCAGTTAAAGGTATAGTGTGTAAGAATAACTGCCATCTAGTGGTTAAATGGGGTATTTTGCTCAAACTGACATCAAAAACTGCGTCACTGCCTCAAACAGGATTTTGAGGCAGCCGTTGTCTTAGCTCTCCGTGTTAAAAAGCCTTGAGAACATAGATGTAACTATGTCATCCAAAGTGAATTTTCTACAAGCTAGCATTTACTGTGACAAAAAGCTGCTGTTCACCACCGCTTTGAAAGCTGCTAAACCCATGTAAACCTACAATTTTGCACCAAGATTGGTAAATATTTGCAGGTTCTACTTTTATGATTTCTATGGTAATGAGCAACACCGTTTAATAAACAATGGAAAAACTTGGCTTTATGCTAATTTAGGAATCAAAGTTCACTCACTTTTCAAAGAGAAATATGGTGACTTCTGCGCCCCTTTTATAATTTTTCTCCTTCTTTAGCTTCTTCCACCTAGAGAAGGCTTGCCCAATGTTTATCCTTGTTTTTTGATCCCTCTGGTTTTGTTGTCTTTAATGTTCACTGTTTGGCTTTCTTGTGGATCGTGAAACTGTTTCTTGTGCCCTTGCTGCATGTGCAGGACCCCGCACATGCAGCATATGCATAGTTGTTGGTTTATTGTCTGCATAAAACAGAATTATATCAACTCAAATGATCTTCACAGCCGCCTCTAAATCAAACTGAACCGCCAGCAAGGGGAAACACATTAATATTCAGTTAACGTGCCGCATATGTACTTTCAAGATGGCAGACTGTCATGGCGCTTTACAGCCTTATGTATAAACTAATATTAAAATATTTGCTTATGAAAATATAACTGATTATTAGAGGAAGTAAACCAATTATAACACATATGTAAATGCAATGACAATTTCAGGTAATTTTTACATAATGTTTAATGTTTCAAACAAAACATTTTGCTTTGTTTTATTATTATTATTATTTTTTTAATGTGCCCCCATAATAAAATACTGGCCCCCCAGGTAAATTTGGTCGAGAACTGCCACTCCTTGGCATCATGCACGTTGTCCAGAGAGGTCAGTAATATTGGTCTAAATTAACCAAAGTAGTTTATTTCATATGGTTGCTTATTCAATCTCACCTTGTATATTTAAAGTATCTAGGGCCCCTAAAAAGCCTTGATTTGATTGTCCTGTCTGAAGCTAAAGAGATTATCCTTTTTTAGGTACCATCTTCTGTTGTATTTTTCAATGTGTAATTCCCCCTTAGTGTTTAGGATTATGTTAAAATAAATTATAAAGCATTTTAAGATGGAAAATAAATGTATTAGGTAGCATCTTCTGTTTTTCTTTTCCAATGTGTAATTCCCCCTTATGTTAAAATAAATAAGAAAGCATTTTAAGATGGAAAATAAATGTATTATGTAGCATCTTATGATGCATTTTTCAATGAGTATTTCCCCCTTATGGTTTAGGATTATGTTAAATTAAATAATAAAGTATTTTAAGATGGAAAATAAATGTATAAAAAAATCCATTTAAAAAGGTGTTGAGATGTGAAAACTATGAAGGCTATTCTTTATTTTAATTTTAAAGGATCGAATGGGCCAGATCGGGGTTAATCAAAAATGCTTGCGCAGTCTTCTCTGGCTTGTTGTCTCTCTGTTGTATAACATGGGGATACACGTGAGTCAACCGCGAGTCCCTGACAAGTCGAGGTGTGAGACACGCCCACTCGTCCAATCAAACGAGAGATTCAAATCCCGCCTGTCCAATCAGCGCAAGCAGGGCGGGGCTACCGTATGCCCGGGCTCACGTTGCACATTTGTGTCAAAAGGTTTGCATTAGATGACGTTATACGACGCGTAACTGGAAAACAACTAAAAAAATACTCACTTTATACCGGCTGTAGAATTAATTTTTTGGACGCCTAAGTTTTGGATTATCACACGCAAGACTCTCGTGGATCGCACCAGGTAATTTTTTCCTCTAAATAAATGAATCTAAATTAGTTTAAATAGTTGGCTAACTAGAAAAGCTAGCTAAACGCTGCATCCCAACAGCAGGTAATATATGTAAACAAAAGTAATTTAACCGCTTTATTTTATTACATGGTGTTAAGACGGTGATATGCAACTTCTGTTGGATGTCCGTCACTGAAGACAACGAATAAAGGTTTAATATTTGGTTTAATATTTAAGCTAAATAACATGTCTGCTGCTAACGAGATGCGTTGTCTTTGCTAGCAGTCAGAATCATCGATACATTGAACCTTTGTGATTATAACGCCATTCAGATGCTAACCCTAAGCATTAACAGTTGATTTTAAGTTTGTATGTGAAATATTTGCTTGGAACATCGCAGGTTAAGTAATATTTTCTGAGAATATTTTAGTTATACTGAAAATAAATATATACGGTTATTATTAGGTAGCATTTGGGACAAATATTATTATGTTGACTTAAGACAAAATCAAAAGGCATTAATTAAAGCATTAAATGTATTTGTATTTTTTTTTTTTTTTTTTTACATGTCTCGCTGCACGTATCTAGCAGAGACGAGTGGGCGCTATTAGGGTCAGTGGGTTCTCCATGGGAGGGGCGATTGGGACCTCAAATCTGTGTTTTTGTTGTTTTAAGTTGTTGTGTTTTGTATTATTATATTTGTTGGTGTAAATCAGAGGCGTCATTAGGATTCTTAAAGATTGGGGCAGGGTGCCCACTCCAGTTCAGATGTGTTGACATTGTCCTACAATATGTAGAGACCCATGGGCCTATAAGCCGAGGACTAGTACAATACGGACTGGTACAAAATGTTTTTGAGAACAAACTGTTTTTGGTGGTTTTAGGATGTTGTGATCTGTACATTATCCTATTATTTCTAGATTAGGTGTGCTGTATGGATTCTAAAACACATGGAACCGATCT